ATAATGACAACAACAATGTAGCTTGTTGGTTTTGTAATCCAGTGTGACCCGAAGCAACAGTTCAACCTCATCGTCCGTCCATACTAATGTAGTACCAGCTCGCCCACTCGCCATGTTGTCTGTTTACAAAATTCCGCGCATGCCCAGTTCCCGTCACGGAAGTTTGGGCTTGATCCCGTCATTGCGTCACAGCGCCACCAACAGGTCTGGCATAGTTTCACAGCGTTTTCAGGCGTATTGACTACATTCATATGGACGCACACATTTACTGAGCTAACTTCGTGTTTACAGAAAAAGTTTCTGAAATTATAAGCGTTTTGTCTTTGTGTGGATATAGCCTGAGAGTTAACAGAATGTAGCGTATCACAACATAATTGTGATACGCTACATTTGGTATGTACAGTGTTTCTTTGTGTAACGTCGTTATACCCACACAGAACAAACTCGATCCATGCTGTATGTATGTATACTCAAGCCATTAACGTCTGTGTTTGTCATTGGGAGTAACTCATAACACATTATAAAATATAAAATTGGAAATGTTTTTTTTTTTTTTTTTTACAAATAGTAAAGTACCTCCAGTTACGTGCATATTTAGATTAACTGCACAATGTTTATGTATTTGCACTGTTAACAATGTATTTCACTAAAACAAGATTATAGTTGTTAAATACGTGTGTGTGTGTGGCAAAAAATAACTTTCTGCATCCTAGCATTTGAAACAAAACTAGTCTTAAAATAAACTCATTGTTGCTCAAGGTTGTGCAAGTCAGTTAGGTTTAGTATCGTAATTCAAACATTACATTATCATCCTAGTAATTAGACATTATATTTGATCATTTCAGGGAAACTTTCCGTACTCAGATTATCATTACATGTTTCTACTGGAAAGTGTCCAACAGTAGTGCAACTAATTTGTCTATTTAAGTTTAAAATCTACGTATCCTTCGGCACCGTAATCTCTTGTACTCCTGCCGTACATGACAAGTTTTAGAAACTGACAGTACTTCATTATTTTATTGAAGCTTGACTGGGATGATTGAACGTTATCTAATCATTTGGTTTCTACCCAGTCATCAACTTTTCAAGAAATGGCCCTTTACCCCATCAGTTGGTCTAATCTAATTCAAACATCCTAAAAATACATAGCATTACTCGACGCTCATTCAAGAATGTTCATAGCATGATTTAATAAGGTTCGCTCATCAGTCCTGACTTGAATGGCATTACATGATTCCTAGACGGTTAGACAAGAACTAGTCTAATGTTTTGCTGAACATGAGGTATTTATGGTAGCATGATCTCATCTCGCAAGTGTCAGACCTGTCAAACAAAAGGCAACCGTCTCCGTGGCTGTCATGCGGAGTGACTTGTCTCTGGAGTTTGCAATCTTAAATCTTGTGCAAACAGTGAAACATAGCCACCAGAGTAAACTAATTTTGTGCAGTTAAAATCTGATCAGTAGAACCCTCAACACAAGTGCACTCGAGCTCCCTTCCTTTCTTTTCTTTTTTCCTGCCCATTAAGCTCTGGTTACCCCCATTGCATCGAGCCGCTTCATTAAGTAAGCATGGCTGCGGGGTTGTATTCGCACTTGCGCTGCCCTCTCCCATGACCTCCTACTTGCCAGGCAGCACACACAAGAACAGGTTAGCATGCACATACTCTAAACTGCATGTACGCACTCTCTTTCACAGTTGGTAGTTTGTGTTCTGGCCCTTAATAGAACATGTCACACTTGCTAATTGCACTGTTCAGGAGTACGCGGTAGCTTTACAAGTGTCCGCTGCCTGAGCCTCAAACCCCCCTGCTCTGCTGCATGGATACACTTGTCTATTGGCCTGCGTCAGAACTAATCAACAAGGTTTTGTGAATATAGCATCAGCCTTCGAGTGTACACCAAATAGCAGCGGCACTAGCGGAGGCCTGGTTGTGCTCCACTGACTTCCCTGGGATAAATGGAGATAATGGGAGTCATATGCTTGTGTTTGGTTTCGGGGCAGGCCTATACAAAACATTTATAGTTGTCATGGGGTTAAAAAGCAGAAGGGATTGAGAATCTGATTGAACTGAAAGTGTGTGTAAGAGAAGTATTGTTTCTTTTATTCAGTTTTGTACAACAGTTTCTCCTTTTTCTGCAAGACCACAAAATGGACTTATGAGCTCAGCATACTCTCCAAGGGACATTATATAAGTGTAACCGCCCTAACTTAACATCAAGCCACATGTTACATGGGTAGGATAACATCGTGTGCCTGGAAGATCCATTAGCCTCACATGTTGCCCCAGTGCAGAAAGCTGTCATTAGCCAGCACTAGATTTGAGGAAATGGACCACAAAGGGGCTCTTTAATTGGTCACTGTGTTTGGTGGTTCACTAATGAAGGAGTGAAGCTAAAGCGCAAGGTTACAAGGGTTACTTCTGTGTTTGGCATTAGGCTTGGGATAAATAAAGTTGCCAAATATGCATGTATAAATGGGGCCCACGTAATGAGAAGCAGGCTGTTATGCTGGATGTGTTGAGATGTTACAATGAGATGTTAGAGTGGACTATTTGCATTCAATGAAAACAGAAAAAAAATGTGGAGGGATAGGCACCGTCGGGGACTGCCATCTTTGAATACTGCTTGAAGAAGCATTGTCTGGTGCTGCAGTCTCTGGTTGAAATCATCTCTCTCAGTGACGACACAAAACCTAAGCAACATGTGGGGGCTATGTATGCAAACTGGAACCTCGTTGCTGCAAGGCAAAATGGCAAACCACTCAACCAGTGTGTCAACAAATCATTGTGTGCTTTTAGGGGTCCAGTAACCCAATCCATGACATGTCTATTATAATCTCCTTGAGGTATTATAGTGCTCTTGCTTTTTCCTAGTTACTGATTCAACATTAGGTTTCAGCACTTATTTTTGTAGATTAACTAAACAAGCAAAATGGCCGAAGCTAAACCGCAGGCTAACTAACGACAGCAAACAAACAACAGCAAACAAAACAGAGCTACTGTTTTTGGCAACTATATGCACTGTTAAAAGTCACGGTTGAACATGGGAGCAGCTCCTTCCGCTCCCAGTTCACAAGTGGGAAATGTCAGTTGTAGCAGTGTTCCAGGGTACTTTCTCAAGTCGGAGGTGGGAAATATTCCAGTTGCCTGGAACACACCATAAAGCTGGCTGTTTTTTATTTACACTACAGTTGTCATGGGGCAGAATCAGCTGCACTACAGTAAAAGACAGGTCTGGACAGGTTTGCCCCATATGGACCATCTGCCTCAGATCTAATCCAAACCTCAAGTGTTATAAAATCCTTGTTTACAGCTACCGTCTGGCCTTTACCATTTCTGCAGCCTTAAGTGGGGAATGACGCTGCTGCCTCTTCCTATAGGCCTATGCTCAATATCTATTCATGTTTTGTAGCCACATCTGCACTCTTGATTCCCATAAGTTCTGTGGCTTCTGCTGACTGTAATAAACATACCGGCTTACACTTTTCGCGTCAGTGGATTTTGCCAGAAAAATATACAATTTGTGAATGTATCATTAGTTATTTCCACATTTTTACTGTATAATTATTCTGAAACTGAGAGCTTTAGGCTTTGATTTCTAGTGGGTAATGAGTATTTTGTCACATCTGCATCCCGCATTGAGCCTTGACTAATGATAAACCAAATTGCAATTCACCCTTAAGGCCTGTGTACACTCGCGCTTGGACCTACGTAACCACACTACGTTGGACCTACGTAACCACAGTTGGTGGTACAGTCGCGCGTTCCCCTTGCGGAGTTTTGAAGAGAATGTTGTAATCCCACAACCAACCACGTGATGGCAAACTCACAGGAGTTGCCTGGGAAACCTATGGGGAAACCAATGCGGTCCCACTTACGCTGCTACTTTCTCCTCTTCAGAACAAAAACAAAAGAGAAGCAAGCTGTTTGAAATCATTACATGTGTTTCTACTGTAGGTTTATGTGACAGTTCTAAACTCATTGTTTCAACTCATTTAACTGTGATGTTGTGAATAAAGACACACTTATTGTTGGAAACAGTTATTATTCAATTGTATTCAGCACAAACAGCAAAACAATAAGTGGTAAATACCTGAGACAAACATGAACGATTTAAAAGTGCAGGAGGAATGCAGACGCGATAAGCTACGAGTTCAGATTCAAACAAAGACAGGAAACGTGCAAAACAAACGACTGTACAGTTTATAAGTTACTGTATATATAAGTTAGATATGCAACAGAACTCTCGTCCAGTCTCTGCGTATATCAGGCTCTGCCATGAGCCCAAACTTCCTTCGGTTCCTTCGAAGCGCGAAGCAGTCTGCTCCGAAGTGCCTCGTCCATGCTCTCTGCAGCCGCTCCATGCTTCACAGAAAGTAATCACACACGGACCAATCACAGCGGAGCTTCCTTGCGGCGACCCTTATGTAGTTAGACATTTTCGAGGGTGCGCGGCAGGCAACGTAAGGGCCTTGCGGTGAGCCACGCGTTGCGCAAGTGACGTCACGTCACCACCGCGCCGCCCGACTATACACTAGGCTTTAGTTTGTTTTCACACATGCATTACATACATTACTGACTGGTAAATATTTATAGTATTTTAAGCAACAGTTTCACTTTTTGTGGACAAATTACCGGTAACATAAGTCTTCATCCGATAAGAAAACAGTTTATATTTTACAAACTCAGTGCTCACAGCGCACTCTTCTGTCTGAAAAAGCTGATCTAAAGATGTGACCAAAATGCCAAAAACACATGCATGTAAATAAATTGTTTTGACAGCACCATAGATTTTAAAAACAAGTTTTTGTGTGGTTTCAAAGTTTGTTACCCCAGTTTAAACTTTTTTAAAAAATTGAAATTAGTCTATCCTGTCATATGTGCTATAACCTTTCATATGCACTTCAAGAATCATGTTAGTTTTGGTTCCGTGTGTTATTTCTCCAATGTGACTCTAAATGATGCTTGTGTGGCTGATCATTGTGGTTTGTGTTTTGCAGTCACCCATCGCTTGGAGTGTGACTCGTCGAAAGCATTGGACCCAGCACTGCAGATGGGAGGCCAGCAGCTCTGCTCAAATGCACCATTTCCTCCAAACTCTTCTCAAAGTCTAAGATGGCCGCCCATGGGCTTCTCCTGCACCTGACCAGCCTAGAGCAGACATGGTGATCATCTTCTCTAAAACACTGGAAAAGAAGAAGGGTGTCAATGATGTAAGGTCCAAGAACAAGGAGAGACTGCTGGTACGGAAAAATATGGGAATTGACTATTTTTCATATATTTATCACATTTTTAATTTGTAATTAGGAGTCACAATAGGGTTAGGGTTGGGGATAAGGCAAGGGTTTGCTTGCATCGTCCCATCAACTGTATGCATGTTTAGGAGTTGGCTTAGCGTTCCAAATTCTAAAACAAGATCTGGATGACGACAAATTGACTCAAATTAATTTACTCTTGTTGTGTTTTATGGAGTAAAATTAAATGAAATATTCAGGCTCTGGATGAACCATCTTGAGTAACATTATTTGAAACCGAAACACAAAGCTGCCTTTTCATTACAAATTGATTCAGTTTATTGCGTTAATCCAGTTCCAAGTTCAAATTCTGGTAACTGAGGACACGTTTGTTGTGGTAATGACCTTAGGTGAGTCAGTGCATTGTATGTTCTTATATTTGTTCAGTCTCCTGTCTCCTTTTTGTTCTGTCACCACCCAGCAGTAAGACGTAAGCTGAGAGGTGCCAGTGTGGGGTTGCAAGGCAGCCGTGTGAAAAAAGCAAACCTTTGTTCTATAAAGATCACTGTAGGTGTAATGCGATGCCTCAAACAATCACTTGTGTTAAATCAAATCAATAAAATTACATTAACTGAGTAAATGATCAGGAAACCTTTGCATGGAAGCCAGGAGCTGGCTCTGCAAGATTTTATGGTTCCAAACAAACACACAAAAGATTGCTATTTGCATTCGTGATCATTTGGAGGCGAAAACAGGAAGTGTGGAGCCACAAAAGCAAATGCAATGTCCGCTCCCTTGTAGTCTGGTTCTTCCTTCATATCAACACGCAGATTACAACAGGATAATTTATCTGAACATCTTTTTATCTTTAGAACCATTACATAAAGTCAAGACAACGTGCATACAACATTCTGCTTATGACTAACAGCATATGTACAGTATTTGGTACTGTTTGACTGAGCCTCCTTTTACTCACTTGCAGCGTGAGCTCCACACCATGAGCAGGGGGACCACCCTCTCCTGTGGAACTGTGGGTAGGTTCTCTCTTCTACTTGTGTTCGGTACATCAGTGATTGTCAGTGATCCATGTCAAATAAATTGCATATTTCATTTTCTAATGGGCCTCATCAGGTTTCTCTGCGCGCCCACTTTCTCTTTGGGTGTGTTTCTCTCATCCCCCTCTTATGATCACAGTGCACCTGCCTTCACACAACGTTGCACAGTGCTCTCACGGGAGACAAACTGTAATTGAATATGTTGTTACCTATGTCAACAATTTCCCTTTGGCTCAGTTAGTGTTACAGTAATTACTCCTTGTGTTAAAAGACATGGCTATACAAATACAAAACTAAGCTTCTGTGAGGGGAAATTCAGTGGCATTATTGTGAATGTTGTGGCTATTTTCATAACTTATTTAGCGTGTGTGGATTTAAATGTAGTGTCTGATTATTGTCAGTGTGAAGTATGTCCGTATTTCTTTCTCTGTAAAATTTTAAGGAACATTTCCTATCAACATCTGAACATGGCATGTGTTTTTTTGCAGAAGCTGACAGGTGGCTGGACATGGGCCGCAGCTGCACCCTTCAGCAGGGACCTACCTGCCAGTCTAGTTCCAGTTTGGAAAGCCTCTGGGACATACTGCCTGAGCAGAGTAGCCAACCGTGGGCCAAGGAGCCTGGCTCCTCCACTGCCATCACCAGCTTGATCAGAGACCTCAGCCTGGTGGACAGCACCAAGACTGACCCTCTGGGAGTTGTAGAGGTGCTCAGACACAGTCAGACACCTGCTGCTCCACCTAGCAAACGCCAGTGTCGGTCCCTGTCTTTCTCGGATGAGTTTGGGGGATTCCGGTCCTGTTGGAGACCGCAGGGCTCAAGACTATGGACCACGGTGGAGAAGAGGAGGTGTCACAGCGGAGGCAGCGTCCGTGGTGGGAGTGCTCACTTAGGGAGTATTCTGCCAGCCATGCAGCGTAGCTCCAGCTTCAGCCTGCCTTCACGCTGCAGCCTCCCCTTAGATGGACCGCTGGACCTGCCACTCTTCACGCAGCGTCTACCTCTTCATCCCCAGTTCACTGCGTCTCCAGTGTCTCCCACGTCTCCCCCATCACACCATCAGCACTCCCGACACCCGCACTTCCTCCGTCCCCTGTCCCTGTCTCATGAGCAGATCAGCCTGCCTGAGCTCCAGAGAGAGGAGGTGTCAGAGATCAGCTCCCCAGACTCTACACCAGAGCTGGGGAGGAGAGCCAAACAGCGCCCACCTGGAAAAGGCTGCTTGGCTCGCAGCAAGTCCCAGCCCTGTGTCATCGATAAGAAAATCGGCATGAAGCGCAGAAGACCAGAGGACGCTCAAGAGCAGCGGCCCTCTCTGGACCTGGCCAAGATGACTCAGGTCAGTCATACATACAGGCCTACATTGACCCATCATGTTCAAATGGTTACTCCTAAGTATGAATGCTGTTATACCGGTTAAACATAAGTAAACCATATGGCCATCTCTCTGGACAAACAAACACTGCTTTGTTCACCTTCACCACACTGAGGCCATTTCTGCTTCTGATCAGGATTAAATGTTTGCAAATTGTGTTTCCTGGGCCATGAGAGGGGAGAGTTGGAGTTAAGTGATCTCAGGCCTGGTCTCAGGGAGGGGTGCTCACTAAAGAAGCATTCCTCATGTTCGGTCACGCTGCCGAGATCCTTGCTTGAGCAAGCCTAGCTCTAGTTATCATTTAATTTGCCCTGTTGTGCAAATTTGACACCCAAAAGTTCTAGCCCTTTTCTTGTCATTACAAAAACTGTTGTGTTAAGGACAAGAGGAACAGTTATTAATAGACCAACTGAAAAATAGTACAAGTATCAGTCGAAGGAATGTCCGGTCTTTGTAATGTTTTTCATCAGATTTATAACTCATCACTTGCACTTGCAAGAGGAAATCTTCGTCTATTTTTAGACTATTCTCCTCAGTGGGTGTCTATTTTATCTCCAACTATAAATGCCAAATTCTTCCTCTGTGATGCGTTCTGTCACGGAAAAAGCGTCCATTTTCCATTTCTCTTTTAGAAAGCCCCTTCCATTTTTCCCCTCCCTTCCCCTTTCCAGAAGGATTGTGTTCCCAGTCAGTCACCCCGAGGACCTGGCCAGAGTTGGATCAACAAGGCTTTGGTAATGGAGCTTAGTGAGCATTTTTCCTCTATTCATGCCAGCGTCTAAGAAGAGACAAATCATATATGGTACATAAAAGTCTGTACTTCTGCCTCTGGGAAGGTGCAGCCTTTCAAGGACATTGTAGACATTTCTTTTGATATTTAGTCTAATAAGCCTGTCATCGCTATACATTCATTTGTGGTATTTTTTACTCTCCAGTTGAGGGGGTTAAACATGTAACTCCAGGTCTTCCGCCATCTGTGTTTACTTTCACATGCTTTTGTACCTGCATGAGGTGGTGACACAATGCTATTCAATGTGCCTTCACCTCACTCGAGACTTGGAGACTGTCTGCCTGAACTGTTACTGTTTTAAAACTGTAAAAGTTGCTGCTGCTCGGACTGTGGACTGATAAACCATTAGATGTGTGTGAGACTCGTGTGAGTCTGCTTTCCAATTGTTTTGTTGTTTATCCATTGAGGACGTAATGTCCATTGTGATAAAATATATATTTGATTTGAAAATTCTCTGGGAACAAAGAAGGGTTGTGTTGAAAAATAAAAATACCTTGGATTCCTATTGGATTATTGTTCCTAAAATTCACTAAAATGCCACAAATGTTTCCTAAACAAGTAGAAAGAATGCTATTTTAAGTCCACGGTGAATCCATACAATTATTATGTAATTTCCTATGCCACAAATCACATAAAACAAGTTCTACACCATTAAACAAACAGCAGTCAGCAAGCAACAAGCTAGCTGGAAACCTGCTATGCTCACTTTTGTCATTCCGACGAAGTGATTATTATTTCTTTGGTGCAAAGGAACACTCCCTTTGTGTCTGGCAAACACACTGTTGAAGACTCGGTAATGTGGAAATTGGAGCTTTAACCCTTATAGCTATCTGTGTAGTTTTTATATTTCAATGAATGGTTGTCATTTTTCCTTCGGGGTCAGTCATTGATTGGTATGCTGCATGCTTCACCTAACTCATTTGGAATGTTTTTAGCCTTTTATATTACAGAAACAAATGACTAGTAGGTTTACTTTGCTACATTGTCGCCCTACTGGTTATAATTGAATTGCGTGTTAATGAGTTATAGAGGCTAAAGTACACCTGCAGTGCAGGTACAGTTAAGGCGAGTGTTCACATAAAGGCTCTGAGTGAGGCCTGGTGTAACACGGCCTGCACAATACAATACAATACAATACAATTTATTCTTGTATAGCCCTAGGTCACAACAGAAGTCATCTCAGAGGACTTAACAAAACCATTGAAATCACCAACACAGGTCAGAGAATCAACAGTTAAAACACATGAAGAATATAAAGCACACACAGAAGAAAATGTCCATACATGTTGTTGTAACCTGCAGAATCTGACGCTCCACGTCAATGCAGCGGCTGTGAATTGTGCACATGCAGAACGTGCTAATCAGCGAGACTTTGGCTTCCATTGGGATTTACAGAGAGCAGCCCCAGAATGCCTCAGATATCGCTCCAGTTAGACGTGTGTCGGCACGATGGTTCCTCACTGTCCCCAGCTGCCAGACTCTCCGTCCAGTTGTTCTTTTGAGTCATCCAATGGAAACATTGTTCTTCACCTTTGTAGGCTTTAGGTCACTTAAAACAATTCACCATTTTGCGTTCTTTTTAGTAGTTTATTGCAAATCAGACTGCATACTTGATCATAGCAGTGTGACAACTTAATATTTATCAGACAGTACAGCAGTCAACTGTGGTTGAAATGTCATCCATTTTTACTTGAGTAATGGAAAACTGTTTCATTGATACAACAGCACATTTCTCTACTATATCAAATTGTTGACTTGCAAGCTTTTTCTCCCTCTTTCAATTCTTAGCCTGACCGTCCATGGTCATCGTAGCAGGAGACACCTCTGTGGGTATCCTGGAGGCAGTGTCAGAGCAGGGACGGGCTCCATCATGTCCCAGAGCAGTGCGTCACTCATCGTACGCGTGCAATAACACATATAACCTGTGATAAGTCACTCAGACCCATATTTATCCACATCACCTTTTTGTGTCTCGACAATATACCCTGCCTGACTACAACAAAAATCACATTGCCACAAACATTGTTTTTGCTCAAACATTAGCTTTGTTTACTTCAATAAACTGTCAAAATATGTTTTATCATCCAGTAGTCCGGCATTTCAGAACTACTACTGTGGCATCGAGTTAATTACTTGTTGTAATCCATATATGCACTTAAAAGTGCACTAAAAAGAATGAAGAAGAAAAAAAAATCACATTGTTTAAATGACTTCAAATACACTTAAGTGGATGTCTCTATCTAGTACACACAACATGTTTGTCAGCTGTGAATCCTGTAACCTTAACGTTTGCACATCTGTCCCTAACCTACCTGAGCTTCTGAAATCCCCTTTTCCACTACATTTTGTTAAACCCCAGTAAACAACTTCCAGTACTTACCCAAGAAAGAATAATTGAGCTGCTTGAACGTAAAGTTAATGCAGTGACCACACCGGGTTTGAGACTGCCAAAACCATGGACTTTTCCCCCGTTTTGCTTCACGTTGTAGTGGAAAAACGATTGAGTCCGTCATTGGGAGCGCTCACAAACTGGGATACACCCAGTTCATTGTAACAGGAAAAGCAATGTCCGAAAACATGCTTGGGAACATTAGCGGTGTCCGTCATGTAAGCCCTGGCTTGTATAGAGCAGACCTCATCTCTATTCACCTCCATGCACCCAACATCTGCTGCCGAGCCACTCCAGAGATCATTAACCCCTTCACTGCACCGCACACTTTTGTTTGCGGACAGAAACTTAGCATGAAAAGGACATAAAAGCCAAACTTGGAAATACAAAGGTCAAGTGTGGGGAGCAGCTGTAGAGAAGGCACATGCTGTATTCTGTCGAATGTCAGTGTCTGATTACAAGAAAACCTTAACGGCAGTAGTTAAAATTTGAATGCATAAACTGACACTGGCAAGACCTTGATGACGATACATTACCAAAAAGGAACATGTCTAACTTTTGCTTTTGTGGGCCATGCCTTTTGGTTACAACACGGTAGAGTTTAAACCGTGCGTCTGTGTTTACATGGGGAATGCTAGGCTCCCGCTTAGCTGCCCAAATGAAACTCGAACCCAAACTGATATTTTGAAAGTGAAGACAAGTTAGAGCTTTAGACTTTTACAACCTAATTAGTCATGTGAGCAAATATGTATCATGGGCAATGGCAAGGGATGTGGCTGAATATGCAATAAGGAATTTCAAAATTGCCTCTCCAAATCTTAACAACTTTGGCAAAGACTTCAGACATATTGCAAACTTATTTCCATTGCCAAAGAAACAAATTACTTGCAATGTGCTCCTCCACCTGATTTTAGTTAGTATTGCTTTGCTTCTAATTCAGTAGAAATGTACCAACCATTCAATTAAAGTGAAATATTGTTGTTGGACACAGTCAATTGTCAGACTATCATCATCAAGTTGAAAAGCTTTGATCATTGGGAACTGATTAAGTTTTCCATCGAGAATCTCCACAAACATCAACATTCCCATCATCCCCCAGTTTGTTTACTCTTGATTACATTTTACAGCAAGAGATTTATTGAGATTTCCTGTGTTGAGCATTGTTCCTGAAGGGACTTTATAGTGTCTACCCTGCACGCTAATCTCTGCGTTCCTACAAGTTCGTGCCCATTGTTTAACATAAACATTAAAGATATGCAATATAATGTTTCTCTGAGAGTGACACTACTGTGGTCTGTTGTTGGCGAGTTGCATAAAACTTGCAATTAGAACCCCAAAACAATTCATATTTTTGGGGTTCTACGTACTTCTTATATATGAGTTGATGAAGTTATGTTTTAAAAAGTTTTGTAAAAAGGAAAGGGGAAAAATGGCCCCATCTTTATGATACGTATAATCTTTACTGGCCAAAAATGAAGATTAATGAGAACAATCAGAGGGACACAGCACTGACATTACAAAGCAACAAGCCCCCTGGCCTTCTACATGGGGAGGGTGAAAGGCACATTAAAGCTAGGATACCTAACTTTCTACCACCATAACGAATAGACCAAATCACAACATGCTGTCTTCATCATTGTGTTTATATTTTGCATACTTTTTAGAAAGAATTGATTGTTGAACTAAGAGTTTATTGGCCGATGAAGGTGGTTTCTTTTAGACATTTCTCTGTATTTTTGGCCTCCGTCACATCTTTAGATCAACACTAATGAAGGACTCAAACTTGTTAGATTTACTCCTTTTTGTGTGGTTTGAATGTTCGGTAATGCTTGGTGATGATCATTACACTGTTGTTGTTTCTTTTCATTGGTCTCTGTCAAGGGTTACTTAAACTAATAAATGTTTTGTCTCTTTATCTTGTTATTGCAGAATCTTCAGACCTTTCAGAGCTTGAGCTGCCCCGGCTTCTCTGCCTCTGACTCTTTGACTCTACAGTCTTTCGAGATTCGCCCACTTTTTGACTTCAAACCGGCGCCGGCCCAGAGGCTGGGGCCACGACAAGAGCTGACGGAGGATCTAATGTACGGGGAGGACAGCAGCGACTCGGCCTGCAGCGTGGACTCGCGCTCAGGCTCCCCTGATGTAGCAGACAGCCAAACCCTCTGGAAGGGTGAGTGCTCCACGCAGAGGGACATTTTCCAGCTGGGAGGAGAGCTGGACCTAGACCAGATCGAGCGAAACTGAACATTTTATAGAAGGCCATAAAAGACTGAACAAAGAGGGTTATAGAAAGTTACGGAATGCCTTAAGTTTGTGATGGGTAAGCAATAAAGAATCCAAAAGGGACGGATGGATGGACAACGCAAGTGTTTTTGAGTTGAAGGATGTGGATGTGTTGTGGAGGGGTGTAGACTTTGAACATTCTTACTGTTTGAAATGAAAAGCAGTAATCTTAGTTTTTTTTGTTTTAAATTGGGTGTACAGTTTGACTCTGGAGCGGGAAGTGAGGGCTAGTCTTAAAACAAAACCTCAGCCCACACTGTCTCTACGGCCTTTACAAAGCTGGTCAATGGTAGATTAGTATTGTAGCTCTCCTTACTTTGTTCTGAGAAGGAGGGGGCACGAACGGGGGTAAAGCGAGACCCCTCGGTATTATTTTTCACCCCAGATTTCTGTGCGCACAAGAGAATCTGACTTTGCTGAATGTAGACTTGATAAGCTTAAAAAGGACAGTAAAACAAAACACAAAATGGCAGTGCCTTTGTTTGAATGCTTGCATTACCATTTCAAGAATCTAGCCTTTTTGAGAAAACCACGATTTCTGACCTTTTTTGTAGTTTCTTAATATGCAAAGTGTATATTTGAATGAGACACTGAAGTTTCTGTTTTCAGTTCTAATTTCAGTGTATATTTTTTCTAAGGAACCATTTTTTATGAGCTGTTTGTGAAGGTGCAAGAATGTACAGTCTCTTCTAACAGAATGAAATAAATTTGCAAATTACACTCGGTTTGGTTGTTTTTTTTACTATATTATGGGTAGCTTTGATCAGCCGACATTGTATAACCCACTTACAACTGTTTGCCATCAAGAACTGGAACTGTAATCAACAATTAAAGTTGCATTAGAAGCACTTAGTGATGTTATTAAAGTTCCTCAATCAGAATTCTTTCCTAAGAATTTGATAAGAATGATATCTCTGACTGGCATGTGTATAGAAAATGCACTTTTGAGGGTTTAGGTCAAATATCGAGTAAGCAAGAAAGTCATAAATCAAAGGCTCTCAGTTGAATGTTGGAAAAGTTGAGAGGTGGCAGACAACAAACCAAGTCCTTGCAAGTTGAACTCCAGTGTTCTTCATTTAACCCTTTTATTATAAAACAAAACACACTAGTCTATGAAAAATCTTGTACTTTGAGTTTGAAGTTGCAACTTCTATTATGCAACTTTTTTCACTCACCAATTGCACAACAAACAATTGCACAAACTGCAACTTTCTGGCACCTTTGAAATAAAATGTTGAAATAATACTTTGGAATGGTCTCTTGGAAATAGTGTTATGCCGTATACAGGAGGAGTGTCGAGGATGAGAGCGAGTCATATTTGTGGAGATGCAAGCATGCTCAGAGTAAAGACACATATTGATAAACTCTACCAAATCTTCATCAATAGTATAAAGTACAATCTATTGGCCTGCTTTCAAGTTGACCGGTCAGGGAGTTTAGCATCCAGTCTAACTGTGTCAAACAAAAGCGGAGGAAGCACAGCCTCGTGTATGCGGTGACCTTTGAGTGAGTAGCGGAGGTGATGTCAGACAGTCTGCCCAGGGATTTCCAGCGCAGACAGAGCGGGACCCTCTCAAGTCCGTCCAACTGCCTGGACCTGGCTCAGAGCACCTGCCACCTTCAGCGCCTTCCTTTTAAACTGCATTCAAAGCAACTTGGTGCACCAGGGAGGCTGCTTGCTTAAACCGTGGGCTCAGATTGTTTTTCCGACACTGGGAGGAAAGTGTGGCCTGTGTTTACGCTCCAAAACAGGATGTTCCAACCGCAGTCGGCCTTTCCTTTGATAATGGCCTTGAAGAAAGGTGGCCTCCAATTGCTTATGCACAGTCACAGGCAGACTGTGGAGATTTTGCTTCATTTTTTAGAAATATAAATAAAAATATTTACACTTTTTGAATTTTTTTTTGTATAGAATTATTCATTTATCTTTAGCAATGTGCTCTTCCTTCCTACTGTTCTGTAACCGGTGATGCAACACTGACATTTCTCTGTTCCCCACTGTGGAACAAATAATGGATCTTTTGAGTGAGTAGTAGTTTCAATGAAAATGTTATAATAAATTGTATTGCACTTTTCAAAAACGGTGCTTACAAAGTGCTGCAGAGTGTGCTGACTTGACACATGGAGATAGCTTTACTAAAATACATCGCTCTTGTATTTCTACAATGCTCTGTCTGAAATAGGAGAATGTTGAAAAGTTGGTAAAGGTCAGCTCCCATGTCAGACACTTTTGAGCCTTGCCTGAGGAACACATACACAAAAACGTGTTTATTTGCAAATGTGTTCATTGAATGGAATATTCTAATTCAAATTTCTCATACGCCTTTCTCTAAAACTCTTATTGAGGTCACGCATAGACAAATACACTGACAATGACCAGATCCTTAAAAGCACAGATCCTGCCACCTGTGACAATACATTTCAATGCCTCTCTTTCCGCTTTTCCTTTGTGTCTTTCACTTTTAGTCTTCAACACTGGATATCTGTCACAAAAGCTTGGAAACATACATTCCTGTTGCTATAAACAGCAGTTTGGTAACAGACGGCCCCAAGAGGTCCGAAAACCACATACAAACACATTTCCTTTGCAGGCAGGAAGTGGTAGCCAAAGCAATGGTGGGAGGCTTAATATCTCAAGTAAGAATGAGGAGCTATATATAGGGAGTATTGTAATAGTCTGCATGCTGTTGTAGACATGTAGGAGTGAGGCGCACAGGAAAGGCCACGGGTTTACAGTACAGTATTGTGGGAAAACACTGGCAGAGGTTTCAAAGAAGCTGTGTCAGCAAGAGGCCCTTCAGAGGTGGTCACAACAATGACATCACTGTTTTATCGGATATGTTATGTTTTTCTACTTGAGTGTTGCTCTAAAGACAAAACAATCCATTTTCAAGGGTTTAAGCGAATAAAGCTTTCATTTTGTTGTAGCACAGCAGTGTGGTAGTAGAACTTCCTCGTGGTTAAACACTCTAATTGGTGGCTAATGTATTGATCTATTCAACACATGACTACTGCAAGACTTGACTTCATTTTCATAATTCTAAAACCCAGGAATGCAAAGACAGTGGCTTGCAAAAGTATTTGTCATGTTTACAACCACGGCCTTCAAAGACCCCAACAATGTAAAATGTTATGTATGCAAGAAATCTAACTCTGCTCATCACCCCCGGTGCATCATCTCCAGTATTAAATAATGTGGGGGGAGTATCATGCTGTGTGGCTGAATTTCTTCAGCAGGTACAGGGAAGAAATCTGATGTAAATGTGGATGGAGCCAACTTTGGAAGAAAACTTGCTGAAAAACATTTGGGGCAGGGGTGGATATTTAACTTCCAATAGGAATAGCTATAAATATAAATACATTTTTAAAAAAAACAACCATATTTATGGGTTAGAATGGCCCAGACAGAGTCCAGTACTAAATCAAATACAATCTGACAGAGATTTTGTAAAGATGAATGGGAAAAGTACTAGTTACTGTGATACAAAAGCAAAATATTTGTACAGTATTGCAATATTGCTTTTGTTCTAGAACACTAATTATATCACAAGTTAAAGTAACTACAAGGATCATCTTTGTTTCTTCAAAACAGTGATAAAACAAAACAAATGTATTTATATAACTTGAGTTACAATATTTACACTTTTGTAATGAGTTACACAACTCAGTTACTTAAAAAAAGAAATATATTACTGTAATATAATAATAATATCAATAGTAACTAGTAACTTTCAACACTGGTCGTAAACATGACAAACTGTGCAGACGTCCTGTTCTCTTCAGGCCACTGTTCCTGCTAAAATGGTTTGAATGGGGCCCACTATGTGTTTGCAGGCACCTTAAGCTCCACACGGACAGGTGGCCGTCAGTGTCGAGTGTCACTGATTGACTATTCCCTGGCTCCCAAAGGTGTCAGAGTTCAGGCCGCCACTTTGTCGCTATGGTTTCCATGAATGCAAAGACCTCCTGTCCGCATCTCACTGTGATTTACATCCTCGTAAAACAAGCAGAAATTACTAGGTTTTGAAGTAAGCCACCCAAGTGTGTGCTAGACCTCCCTCTGCTCAGCTCAGAAGGAAAGCACACATTTCATGAAAAAGAACTCCCCTCTGTCAAATGAAATACATTCTCTTAAGGGTAACAATACCTCGTAACGTTTGGCTGCAAACATAAACAAAACAATTATTGCTGTACGTACATTTCATTGCAATAAGCACATGTCTGACCCAAGTTTTTCTACGGACTTTGAAGTTTGTTGTGCTTGGAGGAGATATACGTTACGCCTTTTTGCAAAGCCTTTGTGTCACTCATCTATCTCACAGAGTAACAGGAAACTGAAGTGTTTTGTAAATACTCTTTAGTGTAGGGGTACTTTCTTGCAGTGTCTGTGGTTTTGGAACTTTCTATTTGATCAGCAAAACATGTTTCCGCCTAAAATAACAATACATGTATTTAAACCGTTGGATAATGTGTGATCAAACCCTGAGAAGAGAGGCTGTTTCAGTTGTTCCTCTGGTAGAGACTTAAGCCACAGCCAAATGATGTCCTGTCTGTCATCTACCGTCAAAACCACAAAAGTATAATAAGGAAATAAGTCATCATTATTTAGTGCATTCCCAGACCAGAGTCACAAAGCTCTTTACAATTGATCGCCATACAAATGAGTTGCATGCCAGACCTATTGTACATGTTTTTAGAAGTAGGGGAAACCAGAGCACGCAGAGGAAACCGGAGCACCCGGAGGAAACCGGAGCACCCGGAGGAAACCGGAGCACCCGGAGGAAACCGGAGCACCCGGAGGAAACCGGAACAGGGACGGGGAGAACATGCAAACTCCACAGAGAAAGGCCTTGAGGTGGAATTGAACCCAATACCTTCTTGCTGTGAAGCACAAGCGCTAACCACTGTGTACAGAGACGCAAAGAGACGGTATTAATGTTTGTAATTTTATCATGCATACA